AAAACAGAGCACATGAGAGCTACATAATTAGCCACTGAACAGTGAGTTTTACAAAATTGCAAATGTGGCACGTTTAATCAAGTAGCAATATTAGCTGTAAATACATAAAAAGCCGGCTCAAAAGGCCAGAATTATGAAAAAAAAGTATGAAATAAAGAGACTGCACCAAAGTACAACGACTTTCCAACATTAACCTTCTATTACGTTTATAGAAATGCATATTATATGATTTTTGACCAGTATCCAAGGAAAGAGCCCACACCAGCCAGATTAAAGACCAGCTGGAACATCTTGTTTTTGTTCAAAATTTCTTTTATATATATATATATTATATTTATTTTATATTTTGGCTTTGTGGTTGAGGAAATTGGGCATGCTATAAAATCTTGCTGTTTCACATTCTATTCCGCAGCGTGATATTCTCAGTTATTTTACGACTACTAAAAACTGTCATCAGTTAAAGATAAGCTACAAGAAGGAAAGTACTAAGTTGAGGCCATGCATTCTTCTCACTTTTTGAGTGTCCTTTAATCACATTTTTTACTTGGAAATAATTATAAATGTATATAATGGTGTCTTCATCTTATTATACTTCGCAACTCCTTTTTCAAACAGAGAGATATTAATGAGTGCAATGAGTATATTTCTTAATGAGATACTCCTTTGGTGTTCTATGCTATGTATTTCAAATCGTGATTTACATGTACTAGCTGGTAGAAGACTTTTCGTGTGTTGTACTGTGAAATCTATTGGTGTGTATTTTATAACCCATTAAATTTTATTTAGGTTCACATTTCCTGACTTTTCAACACATTTTCATCACCCATTAAAATCAGGTCTGGTCAGTTTCTGACTTCCTTGACAATTTCATGGGCCATCAAATCTAGTAGTATATGTTTCATGACCCATTTAATTTAACTTTGATTTATTCATGAATTTTCATGGCCATGAAAACAGATTTTAATGACCCATTAATTTCAGGTCTAGATCAGTGATGACTTTTCATGGCCATGAAAATGTTTTTCATAAGCCACGAAAAATTAATGGGTTTCAATTAGGCCATGAAAATAAGAAGTTGCAATATTCATGGCTCTGAAAAAAGATTCATGGGTCTTTCATGAATATTTCATGGCAGTTTTATGAAACTAAAGTTGGTAGTGCTCAGAAGTATTTCTGGTTCTTGAAATATTCCGAAAATAAATTTTCAATCTACAATACCAGCCATCAATAATAGGGTGAAACCTGCCTGTGCAGCCACCTCATTAGGCTTTAGAATGGAGTAGAGTAGAATGGAATGGAATGGAAAGCAGGGGGTCATGTATAAAATAAACGAAAGACCTAATAACAATGTAATAATAAGTAAAAATTAAAAACTACTGACAATGAAAGACTTTGAGAGTGGTCCTTAACAGAGCTAGTTACTTACGAATATGGGCTCTCATAAACAACCATAGATTGAAACAATAGAACCTGGTCTCTTCTATGATTTTAGCATAAAACCTGGAACTTTGCATAGTCATTCAAGGTACGCTTAGAATTATATCTACTCTAAACATTGCTGCTCAAAGTGATATATGGAAGACGAGGTTGCCACAGATATCCCTTTTCAACACTACCTGACTTAAAAAGAAAATTTCAATGACCAAAGAAATACAAAATTTGAGAATTTACTACAGGGAGGCCATGATATATTTGAGCATATTAGATAAAGCCTTAACTTTGTGTGTCATGCGTATCTTACATTGTTTGTGTTGGCCACTTAAGTTCTATGGCATGGTATAAAATAGTTATGCAAATTTGCTCTCTCGTGCTATACTAGGAAATATCCTAATTGTCACTTGTATTTTCTCAGTATAGATACAAGACTTTACTTTGAATCTTTCGTAGACATTACATCAGCTACGTATACAAAATTAGTGGCCAAAAATGTCTTGGAAATTTTTTCTTTACAGATTTTATGCATCAAGTTCTTTTCTGAATAAAATTTCCACTTCATTTTTGAGTTATTTCTTTGTAAAAAAAATATATCTCTTAGTCGGCACGTTTCGGGCATGCTATGGGCGGGTCAATGGATGGATGAGTGAGTGAGTGAGTGAGTGATTAGTGAGTGAGTATAGTATAGTATAGTATAGTATAGTATAGTATAGTATAGTATAGTATAGTATAGTATAGTATAGTATAGTATAGTATAGTATATCTTTATTACGCCTTACTCTCCAAAGGGAGGTATTGGTCTGTTTACAATAAAGGTTTAACATTAACTAGTACAACAAGAAATAACATTCACTTGATTCTTTTATAATTCAAATAAAATTAAATAAAAATTATAATGCTCATTTCGTTTGTAAGTTGAGAATCTCTTTTCTTTTT